CTGAAATTTAGCATCTTTAGATGGATCAGAATCGCTCGCTGATCCGGCTGTTAGATATTGCAAAAATAATCGAAAATATTTATTTTTACTTTCATGCCGAAGACAACCTTGTTTTATTTTATTACGGTCAAATAATATTTATTAGGTTATAAAGCAAGTATTTTTGTAAATGTTTTGTATGTAAATGTAAATGTTTTCATTATTTTGTTATTATATTGTTTACAGTTATTATCACGTCTTAGCTTTACACCAAGAATTACATTAGAAATTATTGATGGGATGCGATGTAACGCGCATACATTATTTTCATCAAGACCTATAATATATATATTTGTTTTTTTTTTACCAGTAGAGTTTCAACAAAATCTTAAAAAAGTTCAATGAATTAAAAAAATGCCAATAATTATATAATTTCAAGTCAGTATTTTACATTTAAAGATCAGTTATAAAGAGCCAATGTTATTATTTTCATTTTGATTAATTTAATTCGAGGCTAAAATAAATGTGAAAGGGCTTTTATCTGTAATAATAATTTTCATCAAAAATAACATAGACTTATAAAAGTCATATACATGGTCAATCATACTGAAGATTATCAATTGTACTACAAAATACTTAAAAGACTATTTCCAGCATAATGACCCGAATATCATCATTAATGTTTGACTGGCACACTTAAAAGTTTTATCACATGGCTAAATGATTGACTTTTATATTATGATAAGGTCATGCTTTTCTATAAAAAGTTGCAAAAATTTTAATTCACGGCCCTATTGGTTTGTTTTACTTTTTACTTAATTAGTGAAAAACAAAATGGACTGATCCAAAAGTTTACTTTCTTGTGTAAAAAGTGCTATTTAGAATTTTATGTAAATGATAATTAAAGTTTCTATGTAAATAAGTGTAACATAGCGGGTATTATATTCAATGGTAGCGTCCATCCATATTTGCAAAGCCAGCATCATTTTCTGTACAGAAACCGGCAGTGTTGCTCAACGCACTATAAACAAAGCAGCTGATAAAATGGTACACTCAAAACTGCTAACATAAACTGTTTCCGCAAATGGTCTTATAGATAATAATAACTATTCTGCCGTGTTAGGTGCAGGAGCTATTATTAGAAGGAGAAGAGGTAAAATTTTGTTTTAGAAATGCACAATCAATATTGTTTTGTCTGCAATTGAGCATAAAATAAAAAATAACTTCAGCCAAAGAGCATAACTGGCATTATACTCAGGCCCATCAATTGGTATGGAAAAAAATAATTTTACCAGGTTTCAAAAAATCAATAAAAATTCAAAAAACATAAATATTAATATCAAAAAATGTATATATGTATGTCTATACATACATATAATGATTTATGCCCGCTTAGTAACTCACGGTGACTCACTATAACATCCTACAGTCACGCCGAAACTAAGAGGAGAGAATCACTGTAGAAAAGGCAATAATTTATTGCGGAAATTTTGTGATAAAATTAAAAAAAATATAAACTTATCCAAGTTAATCTAACTTAGTCTAACTTATCCCTATGCGTTACAAAAAAAAAACAAATAATAAAATAGTGAGATGGCGTCAGTTTTTAAGAAGATATAACAAAAATAAACAAGAAAGTAAATTTCAAAAAAGTTCAGTATTTAATTGATTATATATCGCTGACACTTAATCACGCTTTTAGAAACCACGCTAGTTGTAAACAATTCTTGCGTGAAAAGACAAAATCTTCTTTTCAAATTTCCGCCGAGTTGTAAGTAGAAGGCCAAATAGGTCACGTGTCAATTTTAATTAAATATATATTATATGAAGTGATCTTGACTACGTTTCATTAATTAACCATTGGTAAAAATTAAAACAGGAATTTTACGATTGTGTTTACAAAAAAAACATTATTAGTTGAACCTTGCAGCTTGTTCATTATTTTTATTATAAATACCTATAAATCTATATATTATTAATAAATAGTTCCCATAATATATTGGACTATTTTTTATTTTGTCCTATCTGCAATGTTCTACGCTCTATAGTAAATGTGGCGTATGACATGACTGACAATCTTTCGAACGTTTTATCTAGGTACAAAGATGTTTTACGTTTTCGTCGCCTCCACATGATATTTTTGTCAACATAAATTACCTTTCTATATCTGAAACGAATATAAATATTTCGACAAAGTGATGTAATAGGCTATACAAATCCCTCTACTGGGCACAGGACTCTTTTTTTTTAATTTCTGAGAGGGTTTTAGGGCAAGGAAATGCCCGCCGTGCTTTCTCAATGCGTGTTGACGAAAATTGTAATTACGAATTTCATTCGTGCTGTCGGGGATCAAACCCGGGAAAATTTACAGCGAACGCTTTGACGACATATTTTTAATACGACACAAATAAATACGATTTAACATATATAATAAAAATTCTTACGTACTTGAAACTTGAACACTTGATAGCTCGTGATGCCTACCGGAAAAAGCTACAGCACCACACCGTGCAATGTAATTGAAGATGCGTAACCGCGACATAATTCTCAGTGATGCGCAAGCATAACAGGCAGTATGTCACTTATATAATTGTCATCTCTACAGTCTATTAATCTTTGCACTTTTATAAGTAATACAGAGAAAAAAGCGCGGGAAGTTTTGAAGTAGGCGGGCGTCCTTTTTTGGCTAAACTTTTGAAAATTAAATTAAATTGATATTACAGGATCAGTTAAGTTGTAAAGTATATATATTAGTAGTTATTGTTGATTATTTATAGTTTTAGTTTGATTTCTTCATCTGGTAAGTCATTTCATTGTATTATATGTAAATAGGATTTTTCTCTTGGCGTCCATGTTGGAGCCCGAAGACCCTGGAGGGACATCCCTCCAGGTGTCTCATGTAGTCACAATCGATGCGTCGGGAATGGAAACGGAAGGTTCAATTATAGATACAGACTGTTCGGAAAACACGAAATCGGTGAAAAGAAAGAGAATTTCAGCTAGAAACCAAAAGAAGAGAAGGAATCACAGACAAACGGGTCTATCAGATTGCCAACTTTCCCCTAACGATTTAAAGGATAATGTTATTACTAAATTGTTTGATTCTGATGATAAAAACACTGAAATTCACCATAATGATGCCACTCACTCTAACAATATTACAAGTAACCCTCGCGCTGCTAGGTCGCTTTACCAGGCATCAGATCCTGCGCCTTATGTTGTCCATGTCCAAAAAATCTTACAACCAAATCAAACTGGATCTATTCACCCAGTACAATTTGGATTTTTCCTTAAAAATTTTTTAATAAAAAGCATTGTAGAGGGAAGCATCAAAAAATTGGAAGAAACAGATTGTCTTTACAATTTGAAACATTTCAGGATGCTAACACATTTCTAAATCACAAATCTCTTGATGTTAATAAATACAAAGCATTTATTCCAGCCTTCACTATCACCCGCATGGGAATAGTGAGAGGTGTTCCATGTGACTGGGATGAGAAAGATATAATGGAAAATATTGACCTTCCGCAGAACTGTGGAAGTATTTTGAAAGTTCGGAGATTAAACAGAAAAGTATATGACGGCGAGACGCCCAAGTTCATTCCAACTGAGACCGTAGTTTTAACCTTTGATGGGAAGGTGCTACCCCCCAGGGTCTTTATATGTTTCAACTCCCTATCTGTAGAGCTTTATATTTACCCCACGCTGCAATGCTTTAATTGCTGCCGTTTTGGTCACACCAAAATGCAATGCAGAGGCTCTCCAAGGTGTTACAAATGTGGAGACAACCATTCAGGTATAAGCTGCGAGACTGAAAGAGATGATGCTGTGTGTATCTTATGTTCTGGTTCCCATTTCGCCACAGACAAAAAGTGTCCGGAGTACGCTAGGCAAAAAGCTATAAAAGAAACAATGGCTAGAAACTCTATATCTTATTCAGAAGCCAGTAAAGTCCATCCACCAGTTTCGAAATCTTATGCTGACGTTGTTGCTTCTGCTTCATTGGCCCCTTCTGGTCGAACTATTACTTATTCCAGCCCTTATAATTCAACAAGCCCTTCTAAGAGTCACACACAGTCATATAGGAAAACAGTATTCTCGAAACCCAAAGCTCGTCCCAGAAATACTAGTAAGGGATATGATCAAAAAGCGCATGCAGAGCTTATCCAAGATTACAGCAACATTCCTTCCTTTTCTACAGGTTGTCTCAAAAATTACAAAGATCTATCAGAAATAATAACAAAGGATCTCATCATTTCTATAATTCGGTACCTTTCACAATCTAACCTAATTAAAATACCGTCCAACGATGCCGCTTCTTCAAAAAGTTTTTTAACTCATGGACAGTCAGGACCATCCACGAAACCAGTCTCTGGTGATTCAATGGAATTGCCGGAGTATTAATAGCAAAAAAGTGACCTAATTTTCTTATTGAATAGTTACAAACCATTTGCAGTCTCTCTTCAAGAGACTTGGCTTCGTCCCGGATTCAACTTTAGAATTCCAGGACATATCTGTCTTAGAGAAGACAGAACAGATGGGTATGGTGGAGTTGCACTAATTCTGAAGGGCGGTGTGCCCTTTGTGCACATACCCATACCTAATCACAGTAATAAATTTTCAAAAATTGCTGTTAGTGTAAATAATATTTGTTTTGTAAATATGTATATACCTCACCCTTCCACTGAAGTCTTTGACAATATTAGTAGCATTCTATCTTCCCTCCCACGCCCTATATTGGTCATGGGAGACTTCAATGCACAATATTCTATGTGGGGAAGTTCTAAGTCTGATCATTATGGGGCTAGAATCTTAGACATCTTAGATGATAATAATTTATGCCTTCTAAACTCTGGTTGTCCTACTAGAAGGACTCGGCCCCATGAGGGTATTAGTGCACCAGACCTTACCCTGTGTAGTCCCTCCCTAGCTCCTACATTAAACTGGTGGCCTCTATCGTCGTCATATGGAAGCGATCACTTTCCGTTAATTATATCATTTCCTCAAAAATTGGCGAAAAGATGTCTAAGGCTCCTCCCCGGCTAAAATATAAACTTAAGGATGCCAACTGGTCATTATTTAGAGATAAAGTTCAACAAAATTTATCAACTATACCTCCACTAAATGACAACAATAATCATCTTTGTGCTGAAGCTTTTACACGGGCCCTACTACAGGCTGCTGAGGAACTTTTTCCTATTAAAAATAATAGTGGCAATGGGTATATTCCATCACCTCCTTGGTGGGACAGTGAGTGTTCTGCTGCGATAGCTGAGAGAAAGATAGCTGAAAAAAAATTACAGAAAAAATTCTACAACACAAAATTTTAATATTCTTTGTAATCTTATAACTAAAACACGTAAATTATTAAAACAAAAAAGATTCAATGGCTGGAAATCTTTTTGTGCCTCAATTTCACCAGACATTTCTCCATCTGAAGTTTGGCAAAATATTCGTAGATTCAGATCCGCTTTTAAGCCTCCAAGGTCTCCTTTTATGGATAGCAGTACAGTTGATTTGTTTCTTGACAAATTAGCTCCACCATTTGTCCCATCTATAGATAATATTTCTTCTGACCTACAGTCTTCTCTCCTCTCCCAGCATGATAGTAGCGATTCATTCATTTCCTTTAGCCTTTCAGAACTCAAAGGGGTTCTTTCAAAACTTAGGGACTCAGCCCCAGGTTGTGATGGAATCCCATATTCTTTTCTTCAAAACCTGAACGACTCCTGCCTTTCTTATTTTCTTAGTTTAATTAATTCAATTTTAACAACAGGTAATATTCATCCATCATGGAAAATCCATGAAGTTATCCCAATACATAAGCCCGACAAACCGATTAATGATCCATCATCTTACAGACCAATTGCATTAGCTTCAGTTATTTCCAAAATTTCCGAACATTTAGTTAAAAATAGGCTAGAATGGTTTATTGAGAGTAAGGGGTTACTATCTCCAAACCAGTTTGGATTTAGGAAAGGTAGGAGTACGATGGATAGTCTCAGCATTTTTATGACAGACTTAAGATTGGCATTTTCGTACAATAAGTTTGTGTTAGCTGCATTCTTAGATGTATCTGCAGCCTATGATAATGTCAACCTTTCAATTCTGAAACAAAAAATGATTAATTTGGATAACCCACAAATTTTTATAAGATTCACAATCAATCTTCTCTCTGGTAGAATGCTTAAAGTAATATCAGAAGACTCCTACCAATCCCGTATTGCCTGGAAAGGTATACCCCAGGGCTCAGTTTTAAGTCCCTTAATTTACAATATATATTCTCATGATCTGGAAGCCTCCCTTAAGGGTAAAGTTAGCACACTCCAATATGCAGATGATTTACTCCTCTATGTCTCTGGTGATTCTGTTGATAACATGTCTGATACTATGACATATTCCCTTAAGTTGCTAAAAGTTTGGCTTGACAATAACTGTCTAAGCCTTTCGGTTCCTAAAAGTAGTATAGTCTTATTTTCACGTATGAGGCTTCCTCCTCCAGTGTCTGTATTTTATAATAACATTAGAGTTCCCGTTAAAAGCGAAGCAACATTTCTTGGGGTAATTTTAGACTCGAGACTTACAGGCATTCCTCATTGCTACTATATAAGTGCCAAATGTGAGAAGATTCTAAATATACTGCGCTGCCTCTCTGGAGTTTGGTGGGGAGCCCACCCTTTCTCTCTAAAGCTTCTATATAATGCCCTAATAAGGAGTATTTTAGACTATGGAACATTTATTCTTGAACCCTGTAATGCAGTAGCTCTCCATAAGTTAGACATTATCCAGTCTAAGGCTCTGAGAATAATTGCTGGGGCTATGCGTTCAAGCCCTATTAACGCTTTGCAGGTTGAATGTTCTGAAGCGCCCCTGCATCTCAGACGACAATTTCTTTGTGACAGGTTCCTGTTTAGAGCATTCGAAGTCTATAATCATCCTCTTTACTCTAGGTTACGGTCTCTGTTGGAATGTATGGATTATACGTACTGGGCTCATAAATCGCCGCCATGCCTTATTGTTAGTTTCCAAAAATTCTTAGCTCTTCAAGCTCCAACACATAGATCACAATTCCTTCCTATATTTTGTGTTAACTATGATGCCTTAATTTTAAAACCATCTATTTTGTTTGATTTCGGTGTATGTAAACAAGATCCTTCTGCCAACGCCAAATTTATTAATATTCTTGACAGTGACAGCCGATGGAAACATTGCCATTTAATTTTTAGTGATTCTTCCAAACCCGGTTCCAAGGAGTGTGTGGGAGTTGGCGTTTTCCATCAACAGTTTGGCATTGTACAGAAAATAAAATTGCCTCCAGAGACTTCAGTATTTACTGGAGAATGTTTTGGTCTGTTGAAGTCTCTGGAGTACATTTTAATCATGAAGTTAAAAAACTCAATAATTTTTACCGATGCTAAAAGTGCCCTCCAAGCCTTGGAAAGATTTCCTTTTAGCAGTAACAGAAATAATCATCCAGTTATTATTGCATGTCGTGATTTATTGTATCAATGTTGCATCAAAAATTACACAGTTTCTTTTGCTTGGATTCCGGGGCACTCAGGTATCTTTGGCAATACCAAGGCCGATAGCCTTGCCAAAGCTGCAGTCAATGACGGAGATCTAGTTCCGTACAAAAACTTTTGTTGTGATTTGGCTCTCCTTCCTAAATACCAATTATTGAATTCTTGGACACATATTTGGCGTTCTTCAAGTCAGACTATAGGTCGATATTATAGCACGATCCAGGTGGATATACCTCCTAAACCGTGGTTTTCAAATCTGACGTTTGGTAAAGCTATCACTTCGACCCTTATTCGTATGAGGCTGGGCCATGCATGCATTCCCTTGCATTTGGCACGACTTAAACTTTTGCCTAGCGATATATGTGAGTGTGGCAATGACGTTGGGGATTTTAACCATATATTCTTTGCTTGTCCTCGACATGACCGTTCCGCTTTTATTTCCTCGCTTTTGTCCATTAAAATTCCTTTTCCTACTTCAATTTCTGTCCTTTTATCTTATGTAAATATTGATGTATATAGAATTTTAGCCAGTTTCATTTTTCATAACAATATAAAATTATAATCATTTATGTACTTATATACTAAATTTACCTGATCCTTTTCCAAATTCCGTTCCAATTTCCAATTCAATAAAATAAATCTTACTTCCTAACCTTTTTGCATGGCTGACGCACAAACCGTGCAGGCCAAGAAAGGGGGAAAAAAAAGTAATACAGAACGTAGTTGCTAGACGGTGTTGACATCGGCTAAAATCTCTGCGATCACCGTTTCGTCAAGGTCATTCAGGCTAGTTAAAGCCTTAATACAGGGCTATACGATACATCAAAATTTCATACGAAGTCACGGCTATTAGGGTACTCTTTCAAATCATGAATTCTTATAAATACATCCCTTAAAAATAACCCTCTTTCTGTTATCTCCTAAACGTCTCCTTGTTGCCACAGCCAGTATCGAGATCTTTATCGTCCACAAATAGAATGACGTTCAGTTTCGTGGTTATCTAGAAGGGTAGGCCAAACTTGCGTTTAAAAAGATTGGCGTGCTTAGTAGAGCGAGACAGTACTCGTATTTCATGCCGGTACACCACTTGCAACAAGTTTGGCCTTACATGGAATACTATTCACTGGGCGGGGGCACCCTAGTGCCAGTTCCTTCCACTTAACCCTATCCAGAGCTGAGTAGCTCGATTTGTTGACGACCGAGATCTTTCTGACCATTTTGACGTACTGTCGTTGCGAAGAGATGTTATATCCCTTTTTTCTATAATCTTAGCAGGTGATATGAAAGCGAGCAACTACTATTTAAGAAGCGGAACACGTACCCTATATATATTATTTATATTAGTTATAAAACATAATATTTACAATAAATAAATAGATAGAGTCAATATGTTTTATGAAAACATGAATCATAACAAATATTTGACGCGACGATGCAAGTTACGATAATCCATCCATCCATTTTTCCGGAGTATTCGAAGTCTATGCTCCGGAGTGTGTCGTAAAAATCGAGTATAGAATATGCCAACTGCTAGACAACACAATCATCTTAGAATAGCCATTTGAATTGCTAAATATTATATGTACTTTCAATATAATGTCAATGTTTTAAAAAATTACTATGTAATTTTAAATGTGTTTCAGAGTAAAATTTGTATATTTAAATTGCCTTGTAATAAATTTTATAATGAGCTAATAAGGATTTCTTGGCTCTCGCTCGGAGACCTCCTGTAATTTACTTTTAATGAAAAATTTATCTGTTGGGGTCTGATCTCATTAATTTTTCGTCTTCTGCGTAGAAAAAATCGATAACTTAATACTTTTTGACATATGTTTAATGAAAAATTACCTAATTGTGGTCAAGAATCTTTCTATGAGTATAGGCCTCTCCAGTTTTTCCACTTTTTATGTCCAATGTCTAGAGGTTTATCTCTTTTTAATTTTTTAGAAGAGCCAGCCCATGTATTGACATTCTTAGTTTATCGTTTATCTTCCATATTATGTAAAATATTTAATATATCTAGCGTGACTGAAATAGAAAATTAATAATTAGTTCTGAAAAAAAAATCGGCCTGTGTCTCAGTTGTAGCGAGAGATTCATTACATAAGCTATTCTGCTACAGGCTGTGCGCATAAAGGTACAAACAGACGTGCTTATTACTAGCACGAAAGCATGCTTTTATTTGGCAAGTGCTCATTAGCACGTGCGTCGCAACATTGCTAGTAATGAGCATACATATTTTGAGCGTGCTCAAAAATCAACCCACGTTTGATTTTCGAGCATGCTACCTGTGGCGCGGGTAGAAGGGGGCGTGCTCCGAGCGCGTTGGTTTACTTATGAGCATGCTATTATCGAATCAATCTCGTCCCCGACATTTGCTGCGTCAATTTAAAATAAATCTTATTGAGTTCTGTACGGATAGCACTGTCACATATTATCTTTGTACATAAATTTTGGCCGGGAGCCTGGTGCCAAATAGCACGTCTGCCCAAAGTTTGCTTTGAGCATATTTATGAGTATGTTTTAAGCGTGCTTATGGCTGGCAAATGTGAACAGTTGCAGAGCATGCTAATTTTAACCAAGCTTATGAGCATGCTATTTTTTTAACACTTCTGTCTGTACCTTGACAATACTGTGTCTTAGGCAAGTTATGAAATAAAAATATTTTACAGCAAATACTAAAATACGAAGGCTCAGTGGTGCAGCGGTTTAGCATTGAGTTGCAGCGCTGAGGGCCGCGGGTTCGAATTCCGCACGGAACAAGTATTTGTATGGCCTACTAGTAATTGCTCCGGGTATGGATGTTTGTACTGACTTAGATACTGATATTCCGATATTAACCACTAAGTCACTGAATTCTTCTCCTGCCGTCGCCGAATCATTACTTAAACAAAATGTAAATGCGTGTACAAAGAATTTTACATTTCATAAAGTATCATCAAAAGATATTGTAAAATATTTTAAAACTATTGATGTTAAGAAAACTGCGGATCTGTGGGGGATTTCCGTTAAAGTTATTGCGTCTATAATAGATACAATCGCGCCTCATTTAGCTATTATTTTTTATACTAGTATCGAATCTGGCGTGTTTCCTGATTTAATGAAGTATAGTAAAGTAAATACCTTTATTTAAATCTGGTAGTACATTAGACCCCGCCAATTTTAGACCTATTTCTGTACTACCAACACTTACTAAGATTGTTGAAAAAAATATTCTTGATCAAATGTTAAATTTCTATAATATAAATAATTTACTTCATAAAAATCAATTTGGTTTCACAAGGGGTCGCTCGACAACTGATGCCGGTGTTGAGCATATTAAATATATCTTTAATGCATGGGAGAATTCACGGGATGCTTTGGGTATATTTTGTGACCTATCCAAAGCCTTCGATTGTGTTCACTATGAAACATTAATCAGGAAACTTCAACACTACGGTGTAAGAAGTGATGCTCTTAAATTAATTATTTCATATTTAAGTAAGAGAACGCAAAAAGTTATCATTAACACTATGAGTTCTTCCGGGTCGATGGTACAAATGGGCGTGCCTCAAGGCTCAATTCTCGGCCCCTTTCTGTTTCTTGTATACATTAATGACTTACCTTACATAGTAGGAGATAACCATGATATAGTATTATTTGCAAATGACACTTCTTTCATTTTCAAATTAAGTCGACAATTGCTAAAATATGACGGAGTAAATAATGCTATATCTAAATTAGTAAATTGGTTCAGTGTTAATAATTTGCATTTAAATGGCACTAAAACGAAATGTATGAAATTGATGACTCCAAATGTCAAACAATTAAATACTAATGTAATTTTAAATGAGGAGAAACTGAGTTTTGTAGATACCACCATTTTTCTTGGAATCACACTAGACGCGAAGCTTCAATAGAGCCCCCATATATCAAAACTAGCAAGCAGACTTAGTTCTGCAGCATATGCCGTAAAAAAAGATTAGAAGTCTAACTAGTGTTGACTAACAGCTAGACTAGTTTACTTTAGCTGTTTCCATAGCATAATGTCGTATGGTATTTTGCTATGGGGACACGCAGCTGACACTGAAATTATATTTGTTTTACAGAAGAGGGCCATAAGAGCAATTTATGATTTGAAGCCTAAAGAGTCGCTGCGACAAAAATTTAAGGAAATTAATATATTATCTTTGGCCTCTCAATACATTTATGAAAATTCAATTAAAATTTATTCAGTATCTTAAATTTAAATAAATTAACTAGGCTGGGGTCTCCTTTTAAGTATATCAATACCTGTGTTAGGGGATCCCGCTCTTCCATAACAATTTTTTGTTGATACTTATAAGATAATAAAGATTAAATGTGTGTGTGTGTGTGTGTGTGTGTGTGTGTGTGTGTGTGTGTGTGTGTGTGTGTGTGTGTGTGTTTGCTTGTGTTTGATTGTGTATTATAGTATTTGTTGTAAGTTTTTATGCCATGGTGTACATTGATCTACTTATTTTAATAAATTTTCAGCTTTATCATACTCTATTGTCTTTAACCACACTGTAACGTGTTTTTTCACATTGTACTGGGTCATTGAATATATATTTAAATGTTTATTGATGTAGTTATAGAGATAAGCAGACTGACTTTTAAATTGCCTTCTGGCAAAACTCGTTTTCATAGGAACTGTTTTAGCCACAGCATGTCTTCTTATACTGCCGCAATTTCTGGGGTTGTATGTCAGTGTCTTGTGTAATCTTAAGACAGAGTTAAGGATATACAGCCTCCTGACTGAAAGGTGGTCACATAGAGAGTACAGATCTTTAGTAGGGAATCTATAGGGCTTAAAGTGCATCACCTTTAGTAACAATCTCTGTACTCTTTCCAGTTCCAGAAACTTCATTTTAGTGGCCCCACCCCAAACCGGGATACAGTGTGTCAAGATGGATTGAGCTAATGAAACATATATTTGGCTCAGTAAGTTCTTATCTGTGATATGTCTAAGTGTTTTAAAAATCCATATGAGTTTTTTTATCCTTGTCATCATCAGTTCCAGATGTGCATGCCAGGATAGACGTTGGTCAATTATTACTCCTAAATATTTTGTTTTGCTTACTTTTGATATTTTGTTACAAATACAGTCAGAGTTTGAGAATTCAGAACATGTATGAATTTTGATTTCAAAGTTGGTTTTCGGTTGTGAGTTATTATAATTTGAAAATGCTATATAATTAGTTTTGGTGGTATTGAGAGTTAAGAGATTAGAATTTAACCAGCTGGCTATCTCGGTGAGACCTCTCTCTGCTGTTAAACGAACATCATCTCAGTTGCGCCCCTTAAAAACAACAGCCGTGTCATCCGCGTTAGAAAATAACTGTCCACCTCTGATTTTCATACAACATAGATTGTTAATATATATTAGGACAAGGGTCGGACCAAGTACACTACCCTAGGGAACGCCAAAAGTTACATCACAGTGCTCACTCACATAGAGTCCAATTCTAACGCATTGTTCACGCCCAGTGAGATAGTCAACAAAAAGTTTTAAAGGGATTCCCCTTATACCTAAGTCTTCGAGCCTTCGTACTAAGGTAGGAACCGACACGGTATCAAAGGCTTTTTTCAAGTCTAAAAATACAGTTAGGCATTTGTTACCTTTGTCCACATTATCTACGATAAGAGAAGTCAGTGCAGTAACAGCATCTTCGGTGGAAAGCCCTTTTCTAAATCCGAATTGGTGGTCAGAAAGAAACTTGTATGTAATTAAGTAAGATATTAACCGATTATTTAAAAGTTTTTCTAGGACCTTTGAGATGGTCGGTAAAACAGAGATAGGTCTATAGTTTAAGGTATCTTCCATGTCACCAGACTTATATACTGGTGTTATTATTGCTCGCTTTAGGGCAGTTGGAAAAATATCCTGACTAAAGCAAAGATTTGCTAAATGAGCTATCACAGGAGCTACATGTTCCTTAGCGAGTTTCAAGAATCGTGTTGATATAGCATCCCACCCAGCGGCACTCTCAGATTTAAGATTCATAAGTAAAGCACCTATCTCATTTGAATCAGTTTCCAAAAGTACGAACGATGAGGCTTTTGAGTTAAGTGGTACACTAATATTATGCTGTTGTGAGTATTTCAAAGTGATGTTTTCAGCTAGCGTTTTACCAATATTTGCAAAATAGTGGTTCACGTAATTTGTCGATTCTTGGGGAGAAGTTTAATATTTTGTGTCTTATTTTTATTTCGCTGTGTTATTTATATTGTTAATTATTTTCCATAGTGCTTTAGGATCTCTTTTACTCTTAGAAAGCTGTTCCCTCTCATGCTTACGTTTAAGTTTTTTTATTAAGTTATTACAATCATTACGATATCTCCTGTATGTTATTTTAAAAATTTCGTTTTCCGGATCATTTCTTAGGTTTTTTGCATGTCGTTTCTATTTCTGATACACCGCAATATGCCTAACGTCATCCAAGGTTTGATTAGACGATTTTTACATGGGATTATTTCTCTTACAGTATTCTCTACGAGACAATTTTTTAGTGTACTTATTAATAGTTCAGTTAAAGTAGTTGGGTTATTTATCGATATTAAATTTTCTATTTTACTATTTATTAAACTAAACAAAGCATTTTCATAGTTTATTTTTTCTTTAATTGTTGGACATTTATTTGATTTACCTACATTAGACAGCCTCAAAAATATCAAAGAGTGATCTGTAATGGTAAAATTTAAAATAAAAGTAGATAAAGTGTGACAATCTTTATCTATATTCAGAATAAAATGATCCAAACAGTTCTTGTTCCTTGTTGGCAAGTAATGGCCCGGTAATAGTCTATAACTCACCAACATGTTAAGATAATTGTGTCTATTTATGCGCTCATATGTTTGTTCTATATCTTTAGTGATGATATTGATGTTTATGTCACCAGTTATAATTAAATTTTTACAAGACCCTATAGTTATAAGGTGACTGTTTAAGGAACCTATAAAGTCATCTGCATTATGGTTTGAAGGAGAGCGGTAGATAGCAAGGATTTTAAAGTCGAGTATAGATATTTGTAGGCAAGATGCACTCACCAGTTTTATTTCTTTGACACAAGCTTTGTGACTGTTTTTGACATATACTACCACTCCGTCACAGCGATTGACATGATTTACCGTAGAGTAAGAGGTTTTTAACAGTGGTAGAGCCACGTGGCAGCTTTTGCTGTCGCACGGATGGGCCGGCTCGAACCGGGGTGGTACCACGACCTCACAGAAAACCAGCGTGAAGTAGAGGTTTACCTCTGCGTTTCGCTTGGTGAGTGCAGGTGGCCGGAGGCCCTCTTTACTGGAAATGAGGCATTCCATCTTAGTCCTCACGGGTGACAACGCATCTGCGTTTTGATTCGCGAGCGAGGATAGATGTAGATGTCTATGGACCGCAGCAACCACTTACCATCAGGTGGACTGTGTGCTCGTTTGTCACCCTTATCCTATAAAAAAAATAATTAGGTATCAATGGTATAGGTTTGTTCTCGTTAAGTCTGCACTCACTCAAAATTATCACATCAATTATAAAATTAAAGTGAGTAAGAGTAATAACCAAGTCATCAATGTTACTGTAAATGCTTCTAATATTTTGTGATACGATAGTGAGATCGGTATTTGTTACATGTATGTATTTTGTAATATGCTGAACTTCACATAATCTTGATTGTGGAATTTCTGCACTGTCTATTTCCTTCATAGATGAAAGGACACTATTCATTATTTGAATTAAAGAAACAGTCGAATTGCATTCCCAGGTCTACAGATATACATATAATTTGGTCCGTATGGTTAAAAATCAATGTAATTGTTATGCTTTCTTTCAAACTAGATATATGAGGTAATATACGAATGTATATATTTTAAAGTCTTGTGTGGGTGTGTCTGAGTAAATAATGTTAAGTATAGGGTAGTGTTGTGATTGTGATTTTATGTACAGGTAGTATTTTATTATTATATTTATGTTCAATATGTGTATGTGTGTGTTAGTAAAAAATGTATAAGGAGTTGACAAATCAACAATAATTAAAGACATAAAAAGTACATTTCGACTTGATGCATTATTTTTAAAGAAACAAGTAAGATCTAGTCATTTTTCCTGCATTAAGCTGTGTATTTGTGACTCATTTCTTATAAGAATTATTGGCGAGTTTTCATTCTTTCTTACATACACTCTCCCATATGCTGTCCAGCAGAATTTGTAAGCCTTCGATTTAGCAAGGTCTCGCGCAATGAAGAAAAGCCGGGCTCCTTTAGCAGTTAATTGTTCTGAGACATATATAGGGGTGTCTGTGTTTTTGGTGAAGCCTAAATGTCTGGCGCAAAGTTTTTCTTTGTGTTTTGCGTTATGTGTTTTAGTCATCTTCAAGATGATGTCATGTGAAAATGTAATGTACGTACACAAAAATAAAAGTAGTTTTACAAAAATAAGTGATATTCATTCTGTAAATATTAGGAACAGACACAAGCTAGTAGTAGTACCAGTTAATCGACTCCATCGAGTCAGTAATTCATTCGTGGGGCGATGTATACGCTTTTACAACAAAATTCCAGAAAATATACAAAATTTGACCTGCTCAAAGTTCAAAAACTTTATTACACTAAGTTTGTATAAAAAGGGTTATTAAATTAAATTATTATATTAAAGAATTTATAGATGATAATAACCCCTGGAAATGAGGTGATCGCTACCAAGCTATTTCTAATTTGTTGTGTTGTTAATTTGTGTAAAATACATGATTGTAAGCTGTTATTTAAAAAAAAAGTCCCGCTGGGTTTCTTGCTGGTTCTTCCCAGGACAGAGATTTTTTTCGAACCAGTGGTTATACAAAAGAGTGACTTTCAATAAGTATTATTTATAATCTATATTGAATAAAAAAGTTTCTGTTTCGGTTTCTGTTTCTGTACTCGTGAAATTTATATTTATAAATTACCCCTATGATACAGTAGAAAATCCTAGTGTGGGGGTAAAGTATTTTTTTTAAATCGTAAATATTTAATAACTTGAAGGGGTTTTAGAGCTAGGGAATGAATTACCTACTACTGGCATTTCTGCCGAAAGGCAGATAGAACGGATCAGGAATGGGGTGCTCCAGGAATGGAGCAATCTTTTTTATTAAATTAACAAATATTTAATGTCATAAAAATAACAACATCGATGTGTGCAGGCGGCTCAGGACCGTGCTTTAAGGCATTCCTTGGGGGAGACCTATGTACAGCAGTGGACTTGTGAAAGGCTTTTAACACTGTAATAATAATGACATCCAGCAAAAGTGATATTACACCAGTTTACTTTGAAATCTTTAAATTAGATTTTATATCTTTTTAGCAACGGTCATTGTTTTTAGTTTTAAAATTCACTCTTAACATTTATTACCAAAACATCCGTGGTATGCGGACTAAATTACCTGATGTCTTTTTGGAAGTTAGCGCTAACAATTTCGATTTAATCGTATTAACAGAGACTTGGCTTAACGATAGTATATTTGATAGTGAAATTTTCGATAGTAGGTATCAAGTATTTAGGAGGGACAGATCATCCAACACTTTTAATGAGAATAATGATGGAGGTGGTGTGGCTATCGCTGTGAAAAAGTCAATTAGTGCTTATAGAAACCAAAATTTTGAATCTCGTTGTGAAGATTTATGGGTAACCCTAGAGCTGGGTAACTATAGAATTTATGTTTGTTCAGTTTACTTACGTTTTCCTCTAAATCAAACTCATCTCAAGCATTTTACTGAAAATGCTGGTAATGTCATTAATAATACATGCAATGATATTCTTATTTTCGGAGATTTTAATCTGCGTGACATTGTTTGGACTCCTTCTAATGCAGATTCATCGCTTAAACCCAGCAATTTCGATAATATCTTCGGTTATGAATTCGTAGATTTTTTGTCTAGTTATGATCTAAAGCAATATAGTCAGATCTCTAATCACCAGGGCAAAATTCTCGACCTCGTGCTGAGTAACACATTCTGTGATATTTCCGTTAAAAAATCAAACAGTATAATTTCTCGAATAGACAACTATCATCCCCCAATTGAAGTAGACTTAGTTTTATGTAAATCAAAAATGCTCTCTCCAAGACAAACTCCTAAATACAAGTTTTTTTTAGCGAATTATGATAGTATACGAGCCCGTTTATCTGACCTTAACTGGACTTCGGAGTTCCAAAACTGTTCGACTGTTGATGAAGTTGTATCGAAGTTTTACTCTATTATAAAAAAAGTTATCACTGAATTTGTTCCATGTCGCATACAAAACAAAAAATCATATCCTCCATGGTATACAACAAACCTCATAAAACTATTACGAGAAAAGGAAAAATCTCGTCAAAAGTTTAAAAAGTACAGCAATGATTTAGATAAATTTGAATACAATATCTTAAAAGTTAGGACTAAAACATTAATCAAAAAATGTTATGACAGATACATTGAAAATGTTGTTGACAGCGTGATTAAAGACCCCAAGTACTTTTGGACTCATATAAAAAATAAACGTAAGAATAATGCTTGTATACCGTCTAATATGAAATTTGGAGACAAAGAAGCTAACAATGGAGAAAAAATTTCCGACCTATTTGCAGAAAATTTTGAATTAGTATATAAACCTATTGATATTAGTTTACATATAAACAAAATGGAAATACCAAAGTCTGCTTTCTCCATGGGGAATCTTTATTTAAATAATGACAGTATTGAGAAGTGCTTAAAGGCTCTAGATATTACTAAGGGCGCCGGAAGTGATGGGATTCACCCCTTGTTTCTGAAGGAATGCGCAGTAGAGCTCACGATACCTTTACATATTATTTTTAATAGATCATTATCTGAAGGTATATTTCCGAAACGTTGGAAGGATGCAATAATTATACCATTGCATAAATCAGGCGATAAAAGTAATATCTGCAACTACAGACCTATTAGTATTCTTCCAGTTTTAGGTAAAGTTTTTGAATCGTTAATTTGTCCTTATTTGACTTGGCATATAAAACATATTATAGCTGATCAACAACACGGATTTTTTAAAAATCGCTCTACTACATCCAATCTTATTACATTTGTTGAATGAACACTTACTAGAATGAGCTCAGGGAATGAAGTAGATTGTATTTATAATGACTTTAGTAAAGCGTTTGACACAGTAAATCATTCAGTTCTAATCAACAAACTACACACATTATTTGGCATACATGGATGCTTATTAGATTGGTTTGCTTCATATCTCACAGATCGAACACAAAGAGTAGTCATTAGCGGTTTTGTTTCTAGAGAAATTATCCCAACGTCTGGAGTTCCACAAGGCTCGCACCTTGGCCCATTACTTTTTATTATGTTTATCGATGATATTAAGCACTGTATCCGTAACTCAGAATTTGAATTATACGCAGATGACCTAAAGATATCTAAAATTGTGAATAATAACACAGACCAAATTCAACTTCAAGAGGATATAGATAGAATTACAGAATGGTGCCGGCAAAATAAAATGTCTCTCAATACAAATAAATGCTATCACATTAAATTCTCTCGAAAATTTAACAAATATAATAGTAGTTACAATATAAATGGTGTAGATTTAGCGAAAGTAGATGAAGTGAAGGACTTAGGCATTGCTATTGACACTCAGATGCGATTTACTAACCACATTAACAATACCATACACAAATCATTAAGAATGTTAGCTTTTATTTTCAGAAACACCAAAGATTTTAAGTCGGTTTTAGCGTTAAAAGTTCTCTATTTTGCATTGGTTTGCAGTCATGTTGATTATTGTTCAGTCGTATGGTACCCGTCTTATCAAAACAATATTCAGCGTGTAGAAAGAATCCAAAAAAGATTTTTAAATAAAATATCTTATGTAAGTGGCGTTCATCGTACAATTCGCAGATACTCTGAAAGATTAGCGCATTTCGAAATTTTATCATTGGAGCAGCGAAAGAATTTGCTATCTATAAGCCTTTTATATAAACTACTTAATAATAAAGTGGATTGTCCATCCCTCCTATCACAAATTAACTTGAAGGTGCCCAGAATTTCAGGAAGGTTGTGTAATTTTAGTCCCTTTAGTGTAAATTTCAGTAGCAAAAATTATGGTAACAACTCTCCTCTATGTTCTATGATGAGAAAGTACAATGATATATTCGGTAAATGTAATATAGATCTCTTTAGTAATAGTCTGGGTTCCTTAAAAAAGAAAATATTTCTATACTACACTCAAACTGAAAATTAAAACTTTAAATTATACAACTTTAAATTATACAATGTTAAGCTCTCTACCAAATTATAATTTTACCTGTATTGCATAGAATAGTCTTTGTGTTTATATCATATTTTATTATCTGTTAATTTGATAACTAATTTTAAGTTTCATGTTGAAATGTTGTGCATACCTTTAAGTTAAATACATATATAGTATAATTTTGTTTATAACTGCAAATGTTTAATAATAATGTTTTGTATGTGTTTAGTTGGTAAGCCTAAATAAATAAATAAATAAATGATGATGATGAAATAACAACATGGCGATGTTGTGTAATGCAAAATCTGTGCAGAAAGCAAGCATATATTTCTGTAGTACTATTAGATATATTTAAGCTAATGAAATCTGTTTTCGGTATACCGAAACAAAAACGCTTACATATGTTCTGCACTCTTTGTACGCTCTTCTCAGTTTTCTTAAATAATAAAAAGACTGGCCGACTTTCGGTTACGACGCTCATACGATACAAGCTATCTGCGCAGGACAGATAGTGTCAAAAGCACAGGTGCACTCTCTATTCCGATGCCTGATGGGACGATATTCCAACACAACCACAGACAGAACAGGCGCAGGACCAATGGCTTTACATGTTTTTCGAGACACTGAGGTGAAACATCGTCAACATCCTGGTGTTAGGCTGCTATTGCGATTTTCTTGACAGAAATACTCTATAATTATTATTTTTTGCCCCAAACTGGGTTTAGAACGCGGGACCTTCATGATTAGCAGCTGGTGTCATGACCAATTGACCAACGAGGCAGTTAATTTTTATTAAGTCTTTTAAATAAGCAAGGACCATAAACAATATCACAATAATGAAGGTGACATAGTACCTACCAAGTTGTTTCAAAGCAGTAGAATAATTTAACGTTTTAGAAATGTGTGAATGGCTGATTTGTCACGAAGAACGAAACTGTCAACACAATCCCTGTAAAGGAATACGGTGGCACATATTTAAACAATCACTCCGCAATAGCATCTTAGTCTATACTAAAAGTATAACGCTGTTACATTTGAAATGGTTAGTGTTGATATTTGGTATTTAATTATAGTTCTACTATATGGAACGGAATATAATTTTCTTTTATAGGAGAGGGGGCAAACGAGCATGCGGCTCACCTGATGGTAAGTGAATACCGCCGCCCATGAACAACCGCAACGCAAGGGAGGGAATTGCAGATGCGTTGCCGGCCTTTTAAAAAGGAGTACGCTCTTTTCTTGAAGGTCCCTAAGTCGTATCGGTCCGGAAAAATCGCTGATAGTAATCGATTCCACAAAGTAGTCGTGCGAGGAAGAAAACATCTTCTAAATCGCACAGTGGTGGACCGCCAATCATCCAGTTGGTGTGGATGGTATCGGGAGTTCTGCCGCGATGTGCGTTCGTGAAATTTGGCGGCTGGGATTAATCCGAACAATTCCTCAGTGCACTCCCCGTGGTAGATGCGAAAGAAAATGCAAAAGGATGCAACATCTCTTCGCAGTGCCAATGAATCGAGCCGATCGGAAAGGACCCGGTCGTCGACGATTCGAGCCGCTCTGCGCTGTATGCGGTCAAGTGGAAGGAGCTGGCACTGGGGAGCCCCTGCCCAGAGATGGGAACAGTATTCCATGTGAGGCCGAACCTGCGCCTTGTAAAGTTGTAGGCAGTGTGCCGTCATGAAATACTGTCCCGCTCTGCTGAGCATGCCAAGCTTTTTAGAGGCCAATTTGGCCTTCTCTTCCAAGTGACCACGAAACTGCACGTCACTCGATATGTCGACGCCGAGGATTCAGATACTGGCTGAGGCAAGAAGGGGAGTGCCTTGAAACTGAGGAGACACGACAAAGGGGTTCTTTTAAGCGGTAAACGCGCAAACTTGTGTCTTCTGAGGATTAAACTGGACTAGATTTAGTCGCCCCCAATCCGAGACTTTGTTCAGCAAAGACTCGACTTCAGACACAAGTTTGTTCCGGTACTCGGCGACGTTTTCCCGAGAAATATTGGCACGGCCGGTGTATAGAGCATCACCAGTGCTGTCATCCGCATATCAATGAATGCTACTAGTTAGCAACAGATGTTGATATGCAGAACAATGATATGCAGAAGAAACAGCGTTGGTGATAGCACACAGCCTTGTGGAACACTAGCGTTAATACGCTTGTAGTCTTAGCATGCACCGTCTACAACGACCTTGATGCTCCGATCTGCAAGGAAGCTGGTGATCCAATTGCACAATTTCTCGGGAAGCCCATTGGAAGAGAGCTTCGAAAGAAGCGCTTTGTGCCAAACCAGATCGAAGGCCTTCGCAATGTCCAAACTAACGACCAACGCCTTCCCCTTGGACCATCAAGAGTCGAGTTGGACGCAAAAAGGGAAAAAGGTCGGCTTTGTCTTTTGCGGCTTGGGCCAGTGAGTCGTCCTCCCTGTGCAGATATGGTAGTGATGGCTTACAGAAATTCCCTTGGACAGCCTTAGCGAGAGACCAGAATGCACGGGTTCCCGAAGGAAGGCGAACTAGTTTCTCGCCAATTCTGCCTATGTGATCTGACTTTGCCTTGGCAATAACTTTTTTGAAGGACCTGGAGGCGAAGTTATACTTCTATTTAAGTGTGCTGGTGTTTACATCCCGAGTCGCCGAAGCCGCAGCCCAGGCTTGATAACACTCCTGCTTACTGCGTAATGCAGTCATACAGGAGCGACCAAACCAAGGCTGTAATGATAGAAGACTGTCTAATAACTTTTTGGCAAATATCAAAATGACAGACAGACAGACAAAACTTTTGAAAATGGTTCTAAATGTATAAATGGTTTGCCAATAACCTCCTCAACTGAATATAATATGAGGTAAGGTTTTTGATATTACAGATAGACACTTCAATTTTAATTATATGTGTAGATGTATAGATTGAGGAACTATACCAACATTAAATACATATACTTATGTTTATGTTTTTTTTTAAAACGTTACCTCCACATTAAGATTTTCTCCTGTATCGTGGGGGCAGTTTACATACATAGATTTCACAAGGACAAACATCCAGACACAGAGCAAAACTTATTTGTAGGCCATACAAATACTTGTTACGTGCGGGATTCGAACCCGCGGCCCTTAGAGCTGCAACTCATTGCTAAGGCACTGTGCCACTGCACCATCAAATACTGATCGAATATAAAGAACAGAAAAACATCTATTTTATTAAATTGACTAGGGTAAGGTCTTATTTATAAAAACACGAAAAACAAAACGAGGTTACAGACGGCCACAACGCGTGAGCCGAGTGAGTGAAGCGAGTGTGTTGCGACAATGGCCGGCTTAGCACCAGAAGAATAATTTTAAGGCACTTCTTAGAGTCCTATCATTAGATTGGGTTAGAGAATCCCTTGTGATTCGGTCATCTTTTTTTGCAAGGTAGAGTTATGCTCCTACTATATTATAGGTGCAACACGAATGTGTCGGCTCGACCAGGTAATGACCACGCTCTTACAAAATATAAGCTGTATATATTTTGATGAATGTAGAGGAACCGGAGACCCATTTTTACTGGTAACAAGGCATTCCATCTTAGTCCTTAGAGGTGACAACACATTTGCATTTTGATTCTCACTCGAGAATAGATGTAGAAATCTACGGACCACTGCAACCACATACCATCAGGTGGACTATGTGTTTATATGTTACTCTTATTCTACTAAAAAAAGAAAAAAGATATCAGAACATCAGTATACGTCAAGTAAAGTATATCCCTATTATTAGTTAAATAATTTACGCAGCATACCACGTGTCGTTTATTTTTAGTCGATGGTATTCTTCCGAAAACATGTGTTTTAAATTCCGATCTAACGTTTATAATTTACGAATTCAATCAAATCTCGATTTACACGAATAAATATACCGGGGATATACATCTCAAAGTTTTAAAGACGCAAGAAATACGCGAGTAGCAGAGTGAATGATGAACAAATGTAAAATCCGGCAAATAAATATTGTTCTACATGGGACAAAGTAAAAATGGTAAAAGTTTATATCATGAACACTCGCTTTCGTCGTATTAGAGCATTGGTAATTGTACGGTAATAGCTGAAAAGTGTCAATGTTGATTTGAAGGGACAGACTAATAGAGAAGGTAGGTCAGTACAATAGGTACTTACTAATGAATGCTTGCCTGTCGGCAATGTTTTCCATGTTTTGTTGATTTTTCCTTTCTTCTTTGTTTATACCTCATCGCAAAATCATGATCATCGTAGTATCCAAATAAGTCTATCCTTTTCTTTTCTTGCATTGGCAGTCTAGGTATAAATAACTCCTCATCACTATCTCCTATTCCCTATTTAATATATTAATTAATCGTTCATA